CAGCTGCAGGTGATGGCAGCCCCGGGGGTCACTGAGGTGGCCGCGGGCAGGTCCAGGCAATGGCAGCCCTTGCTCCCCGGCCCGCTTGATTGCTCGTCCCCGACTCGGGGCTGCAGAGGGAATTTGTGTCTCCGCACTTGGGAAGGGCCCCCCTGACCAGAGCCCAGACCCCAGCACACAGGAGAAGGGTCGTGGGGACGGCTCACAGGGGCTTCGGGGCACCCGCACCCTGTGAGCGCAGGTAGGAGTGTGGGGCAGAGGACCACTGCCATGCATGCCACAAAGGCCGACGCAATCTCCCTGCCCTCTTGCCCAGGAGAGAGCAGGACTGCTCCGCTGCTTCCCATGCACCTTCTCGCTTCCTATGTCTTCCCATCCATGCCTGAACCAGAGTCAGAGGTTTTAAACTCCAGTAAAAGTGTTTTCCCACACCAGCTGAGCTGTGTTCACACGCTGTATTCCATGGCCTTGCAGGGAAGTACTTTGGAAGAGGCAGGGGATTTTCTTTTAAAACAGTTGCAATTTAGAGAGTGAAGTTGAGAGAAGGTTTGAATAAATCACTTATTTAGGAAAAAGCAATTTAGAGAGTGAAGTTGAGAGGTTTGAATAAATCACTTATTTAGGAAAAAAAAAAAAGCAGCCACAGTAGCTTTGAATTCCTGTCAAGTTCAGTTTCAAGCACCTCTAAAAGGACTAACAATTTGGAAAAATAAAAGCAATTAGAGAATTTTTTTTTCCTTTTAAAACTTAGAACCACATATGTTCACATTCAAATTTTTAAATCTCACAGCTATTTAAAAACTACAAAACCTTATGGTTACCAGAAAATTACTTTTTCCAGCTCTGTTTCACAGAGCTGGTATGAAGAAGTGTATCAGATAGGCTCAAAACTTTTTTCCCAAGTCATTTGCTTTGGTGAACTATGAGGTCATTGATTCACACAGTTCAGAAACTGTTTGTACGGAACTGGAGAGTTTCCAGCTCTGACACTATACGTTTTCATATCCAACAGCTATAGATCCAAGGTCCTCTCCTGTAGATCTACCAAAGGCAGCGGAGTTACACCAGGCATAAGTTCTCAGTGATCATTTGGATTGCAGCATAGCATAACCACATAGGTTAAGGCCCTGTGACTTGTCTCTATACTAGTAAAAAAAGTGATTCAAGCCTGTTTACCCCCCAAAATAAAGAAGAGTTGTGTGTGATGTTGGTGTCAGGCTAGTAACTAGGTCATAACTTATTAATTGTACACAAAAGCGCTTGCAGACTTCCGTTGTCCATGTTGTTAGCACTCATAAAACATAAGAAACATCAACAGCTGTGGTTATCATCGGTATCTCACTGCCTCTGCTCCAACATACAGTGTTGGCTGGAAGGATCTCTGGAGGTCACAAATCCACCCTCCCACTCAGAGGAGCACCATTGCCAGCACTAGCCAAGGTGCCTACCTAGGTGCTAGCTGGAGTAGCACCAAGGTGTTGAAAACATTCAAGGATAGAGACTCCACAACACCTCTGGCAGCCTGTCCCAGGGCTGCGCCACCCTCTCGGTGAAGAATTTTTTCCTAATGTCCAGCCCTGAATCTCCCAGCCTGTAATTTATGGCTGTTGTCCCTTGTTATATCCAAAGAGAGTCTGGCTCCATCGTCTTCATAACTTACCTTCAGGTACTTGCTGGCTCCCATTAAATCACCCCATCGCCTCCTCTTCACATGACTAAACAAGACCATCTCCCTCAACCTCTCCCCTTAGCTTGTGTGCTGTAGGGTCTCTCATCATCTCGGTAGCCTTCCACTAGACCATGTTCTCAACATCCTTCTTGAACTGGGAGGCTGGAAACTGGAGACAGTATTGCTGGTGGTGCTTCACCAGTGGGGGATAATTATTTTCCTCAACCTATTGGACGTACTTCTGATGTTGCACGGCATGTGGCTTGCTTTATTTTCAAGGAGAGCTCACATTCAGCTTGATGTTCATGTAGCCCCCAGGTCCTTTCCAGCATGGTGGTTTATCAGCCAGCCAGTTCCCAGCCTGTACCAGTGCATGGGGATTTTCTGCTCCACACACAAAACTTGCTCTTTCTCCCTGCTGAACTTCCCGAGGTTTCTGTTGGCTTACTCCAAGTTTATCAAGGCCTCTCTGAATTGAAGTTGTACAAGCCAGGATGTCAACCTCGCTTTCTAGTTTAGTATTGTCTGCAAAATAGTGTGCTAGCCAATAGTAGCAAAAAAATCTCTTAGTGCAATAAATATAGGACCTGTCTTGACAAATAACACTAATTGCAGTCACAAAATGGGAATCTGGGAAAATTATTTTACCACAGTAGAAAACTGCAAACAAATGTAGAAATACAATGCTCTACAGTAGCAGTACAGTTTCTCTCTCCTTTTTAATGTCTCATTTCTCTTCTGGAGAAGAAATACCAGCCTGGCAGTAACCCACATCAGCTCCAGTTTGCCTCATTTCTGCCGTAAGACACAGCATGTCCGTGGCACAATCGCCATCAGCTACTCTGTGCTGGTAGGGTTTTGTCAAGCAGTTTTGTTCACTCTGGCTTGGGAAAAACTCCACAGATGCCACTGGGAAGTACAACGTGATGAAGGTTGAGTAGCATTACCAGATGCCTGCACACCTTCCAGAGGAAACACACCTGGTTTTGTCTGCTTTGGAGGTAAACCAGCCCAGGAGATAGCTCTGTGGACGAGGACCACACAGATTTCTTGGTACTGTATACACAAATTGGGGAACTGTGGTTTAACTGCTCTGTGGAAACCACAGTAAGCTCCACTGTTGCTGATAGTCAGGAATTTAAAATAAAATGCTGGCCGTTAGTAATGCAGCTGTTGCAAAATAAAAGATATTTTACTTATTTGAAGGTTAAATGTTTGCCATTTCTAACAGCAGTAAATGTTTTTGCCTAGCACTTCCCAGCTGGCTTCCTCTTCTACTCTGACTCACTCTGTTTTATCACACTTGAGAAGTACTTAAGCCTAGAGAAGTCTTTGAAGTTATTTGTCAGCTGTCTTGCAAACACAGTTTAAAAGGTACTTGCAAGATATGATTGTATTTTCAGCCACAGCTATCAAGCCAGACATTCTGTCAACCAGGGAAACCCTGTGGAGTTTTTTATCCTAAGAAAACATGATCATCTTCAAAGAGTAGCAGGCTGCTATCTGGTACCAAAATGACACTAAGAATGACTTTGAAATCTCTTCTTCACAAATAGTTGCCATGGTTTCAACACAAGTTTTTGCCAAGTAAGAACCTAAATCCTGTGTGAAAAAGAGTGATAAAAGTTCTGTTCTGTATAAATTGCACACTGTATTTTAGTGTAAAGTTTAAATGCCTGTAATTTTATTACCTAGTGCTTCATATTCAGGATCATGATCTTTCTGCTTGGAAGTTTAAAATTCTGAAATATGACCAGAGGTAACAGATTCAGTTGAAAGTTGATGCCTGCCTTGTTGGATGAACAGCATGTTTCTGCCCGGCTAGAGTTCCACTTGTGACTGTGAGCAGGGTTGGATTAAAACTATCTAAAGTTGACATCTCCAGGTCAAGGCACAGGCATGAACAGATGTGCTGTGCACACTGTGAGTGGAGGATCCTGTCCCGGAACACTCTTTGCCGCCCATTGCAGCACACATCTTTGTTGTTCAGCAGTGTAGACCAGAGCCAAAATCAGAGCAGAAAACTTTCCTACCAAAACCACACGATCCCCAGGCACTTTAACACGTGTGTGTGTACCAGCAAGTCTGAATTTGGCTCTGTGGATATTTGTTGGCAGTTATCATGGATTTCAGTCTTCCTTGGTTTTTGGAGCACGGGACTGCATCTTACACAGCAACAGTGGCAGGGGCAATGATGTGCAACCAGCTCTGATGCTCTCATTTTACCCCGTGAGCATCCCCCAGGCCAGAGGGCAAGGGTTTGTGGTAGAGCTTTTCTTCAAACATCTTCGAACCTCAAGCATCGAGGTGATGTTTCAGGCCAGGAGATAAGACTAGCTCTAGTTTGAAGTAAATCTCCTAAACCACATATAGTCTAGTTATGGGGCTCTCAACACCAATTGCTTTAACAACTTGACCCCCTCCTGTTGTGCTTCATTGCTTGATAATGTAGACATAGCCTTTGAAAGATGTCAGTGTTTGAACACTGTTATTAATACATGGAAGCAATGATAACATTTGTCTTAAAACAGCAGTGTTTAGTTTGGAAATGAAATAATATTAAAAAAATAAAAGGGTAGCTGAATAGTTAGACAGTAAAAAATCACTGTTAAAATGTGAGCACAGTTAATTTAAATAATCCAAAACAATATTTAATAAAATATTATAAATATATTGTAAACATAGTAATATTAATAGCATTACTATCATATTATGCAATGTTATTATATTTAAACAAATTGCTTAGTTTTATTCAAATGAAAGATGAGACACGTAAAAGGTCATGAACATGAATATATCGGACTAGCTAAGAATTCCTCAAGCCTCATAACTGAAATAAAATATTCAGTAGAAGAGATCTAAAAGACATTTCTCCGTTGTACAAGGTTGCACAAAAAGGAAGAGGGAGCAAAGGCACAAATGAGATTCACAAATCTGCCTTTATTGCAGCAAAACTGAGCTAGTGCAGGAATCCAGGATAGACCCAGAAAGTCTTTTCATTTGGAAAATTTTAAAACAAGATCATGGAAAAAAAAAATTACTAAGAATGAGAAAGCAGGGGGGTGGAGTAGAATAAAAACAAAGCAAGGAGCAGAAGTGAGATGCAACAAGCTTAATCAAAGCCTCTATCTGAAAACCCAGTGTTTTTCAAACATTATTGTGTGGTTCATGATCAAATTTCCATCTAAAAAGTGAGAATAATGTTTTCAAAAGCAGCTACTCCTCTAGTGCCTCAGGTGCAATTTTCAGTGCCAATATTTTTTTTCATTTAGAATTCAAATGGAAATGCTGAAAAGAGTTGGCTTAGAGCAAACTAAGGTTTTTTTCCCCCCCTTCTCACTGATATAAAAATAAAACCAAACTTTTAGTGTCAGAGAAGAGTTCCAGACACTCAAAAAACAAACATCCCATTTCATTCACAGATAATTGTAAAAAAAGCAAAGGAAAACAAAGTCTAGCTTCACAAAGTTGTCACTGAGACTCTTCCTTTTTAACAATATTCTGTGTGGTTTAGATACTTCCTTAGAATCTGAGAGCACCAGAAACAAATCCCATCTCCACCTCTTAGGATCACACCTTAGGAAAGATGTGAATTATCAGTCTGAGTTAGCACTGGGAATAAGGAGATCTTTGACTCTGATTTTAAATTATCCATCAGTCCCAGTTCATTTTTTTCACTGTACAATAGAATTCCTGCCTTTAAAAAGACAGTAACACTTGTTTATCCCACAAATGTGCTGGAGGGATGTCTGGGAAGAATTCTGGCAATGAAAACTGTAGGGTAAGTGCTAAGTATTATTAATTTGGAAAAGAATGTGCTACAATTATTCTAGAAGTATGGCAAAGACTGATCATTGAGTTAGATTGTTAAACATGAAGACAGGAAATATCATGCCTACCAACCTGGTCCACCACCTCCTCACTTGATTGTGGGTTGTCATCTCCCTCCCCTGTCACTCCTACTTATAGTTCTCCTCCCCAGGTTGGCCAGGCAAAAGATCACTACTGTGTGTTTCTTGTGCTATCACAGCACTTAGGAAACAATCATGGATCCTTCTAGACAAGGTACAAACACAGCGTTTGCCCCACTTGTTGAGGTGAATCTCATCTCTTCCTAGCAGTTCTTAGTCCTCAAAGAGGGGACATCCCATAGTCATAAAAGTCAACTCCCCATTTTCAGCACCAGCTGTGCAAACAATAGTTGACCTACAGGATCCATCCATTCCTCAAGCCCTACCCCCTCACCAGTAGCATTGAGGAGAAACCACCTGGGCACCTATGTCTTTGACTCACCCTACAGCAATGTAGTCGTGCTTGATACGCTCCATGTCTCCCCTGGCGGTATCGTTGGTGACCACGTGGAAGAGCAGCAGGGAGTAAAAGTCTGAGGCCCAGACAAGACTCGGCATGCTCGACACATCTTCCCAGATCTCAGTCCCTCAACAAACCTCCCCAGACAGCACATTGGGGCAGCAAATAGGAGCTTCCATCTCCCTCAGCAGGGAGTCTCCAACTACTATCACTCTTCACTTCCTCCTGCACGGTTCAGGCTCAGTCAGCTCAGATGCTTTGCTGGAGAGAGCTTCCAGCCTCTCGTCCGCTACCAGAGCACTGCAGCTGGTCTGTAGCTGCAAATGTCACTCCTGTCTCTGGTACCTTCTCCAATCACCCATGACCTTTCAAAGCTATCTTTTGTTCTGCTTTTATACAGTACCTAGAAGGATCCACATTTGTTTCCTAAGTGGTGCTGGTGTGAATAGTTGTAAGATAAAATGCTGGACTAATCAAGCGTGCATCAAACATACAAGGCCAAAGCTAACGAGTACATCGCATCAAAGCCACAGCTAAAGAGCACATCGTGAGAGACAGATAAGTACTAGCAGAAAGCAGAGGAGGACAACCAAAACTGTGGCAAATGGCAGTGATGAGCCAATTTGTGACCATATAAGGAGAAGGGCCCAAAGGTTCAAGACAAGTTCACCTCCTGCAAAGACCACAAGAGACCACGAGAGACCTCCAGAGACCATCTAAGACACCTGAAGATGCTCCTAAGGACTCAAAATGCATGTGTGAAAGACTATGCAAATAGTATAATTAGTTCCTAGAAATATAATGAATATGCATGATTTTTCCAAGAAATTATTATGAATATGCATATCGCAGAACCATATAAGGGACAGTTGATGCAACATACGGTGTGCACGCTAGGAGGAGAGATCCCCCATGCACCCGGCCGAATAAAGTAATGCCTGCTCTTTAATACACCCAGTGTTAAGGAGTTTTATTCCCAATTTTCGGTGACAGTGTGATAATACAAAACAAACTAATGATTATTTGGTATTACTTTGCTGTAACAATGGTTAAGAGCGAGAGTTAAGTGACAGGTTATTTTGGTTTCCATGCTACCTCTGTGGTTCTTTGACACTATGATAACTCTTACATATATAGAGACATAGAGAGAGAGGCTTATTTATGTTAAACTTTTATTAAATCAGGCTAGGTATCAAATCACAAACTCTTGACTTCTGGACTGCTCAGTTTAATGAATGGACTCAGCCTAAGGTATTTTAAGGCATCTCTTCAATTACATCACAATCTTCTGCTGGAACTTTGAATCACTTTGCAACAGAGAAGCCTATGAAAATGTCAAGTTTCACAGCAGCACGTTTTTGTCAGCAAGAACATTTTGTAATCTCTGGATTGTGACATCTTCATCACTGGCTGAAAGGTGGATCAGATTTGGCTACTACAACATCAGATTAAAAAGCAGCATGAGCATATTAATAAAACAGCAACAAACAAAGAGGAAATAGCTCCCTATCCAAGCAGAACTTTCTTCAAAATCTTAGAAATACAGATCTACATTTCCAAAGGCAGCTAGTCATTTTGATGTTTGATCTGACACATCAGAACGGGCTCAGGTCTTCACAGCACTAAAGTTCAGCAATCTGTAAAAAAACAAGATCTGCTCTAAGGATGGATGAGACACCACATAGTGAGCCCCCCAAACCACTAGTCACTTTTAGGGAAAGGCAATAGAAGGGAGAAGCAAAAATAAATGCATTAACTTCAGTAAATTCAGCAACATGGGTATATATATTTTTTTGTTTTTCTCTCTTCTACCTATTTCTCCTACATCTTTTCCCTTCATTTCTTACAGTTTCTATCTCTGCGTTGCTGAACTGTGTTCTCTCTCCAGTTCCCTTCAGGAATTCCCGACCTGTTCTGTGTCTCCTCTTTCATTCCCCTTGTCTGTGCTTCTTCCTTTTCCTTTTGCTGGTGCCTTTCCTTCTGGCACTAAACACAGTAGGCTCATCTTCTCTCTGGAAATCCCTCTTCTTTTTTGTCCATTTCCATAGCCTGTACCTACTCCATCTCCCAATTACTGTATTACCACCTCATTCTTCCTCAGATCCTTTCACAGAAAAGGGTGTGTGAATGGAAAAGGTTTGGTGAGTATAGGAGCTGAAGCCAGATTGCTTCCAGTTTTTCTCCTGTCTTCTATCTTTTCTGCCACCCCTTCTCTCATGGTACCTGCCTATTCCACTGCAAAACAGGCAGTATAGCTAGTGAGGAAAGCACCACTTGTCTCTAGCAGCAGTCCCTGGGAATGAAGGTACATCTAAATTCCCAAAGGAAAACCAACAGATCCCATAAATTTCAGCACCTGAATCAATCTGAATAAACTGCTTTGTTTTAAAGCTGTTCTTTCTTCACGGATCTTAACAGGAAATGGAGGAGATCAGGATCTTTAAAAACTCTGTGTGCCTTCACTAGAAGCCTCAGGTACACGAGTTCAGGCAACGTCTCCAAACTCTGAGGCATTCTTTGGTTGTATTTTCTATGGTGTAGCTAAAATTTTCTTGGTTTAAGTACATGACCAGAAGTGACTGCAGTTAATACTTGGCATAGATTAGGCCTGCTCTATAACCAAAATATTCTTACAAGTAGTAACTCTAGAGTAAAGGCAGCGTGGCAGGTGGTTGTACTGGTTAAACGCTTCTTATACTAGCAATAACTTAATTCATGCTGCTGTTGCAACTAAGATGCCACTATCTCCAGAGCTCACAAGATCAAGATAGGAAGAAAGAAGTGCTAGTCATGCAGCTAGCTGTATTTTTAAACCACTAGCCCCCAAGAACATGGGAAGAAGCTTCGTTTGATGGCAAAATATGCTGAGTTCATATATTCTGCAAGGTCATGGCACTAATGATATTCCTCTTAGAAAGCTAATGAACTTTGTTTCCTTAGGGTTGGAAGCTTTCACCTTTCACTACAAAGTTAAAACATTTCACTGAAAGAGAGAAGGTGGGCACATTGAGAAGACTGTGCTAAAATCCACCAGCTCATAAGGAACAGGTCTGCTCCACAAAAGGCACACTCCACAGACTGTAAAGAAAGAAAATACGTGTCCCAGAGCACCAGCTGACCATTGCAGGCAAATGCTAAAATGCCTGAAATGATACCTAGATCACACTCTGGAGGAGGGCTTTTCCAAACATTTGAATTTGTTAAGTTTGGATGTTAAGAAAGGCAGCTAAGGTTCATTATGTACACAAAACCAACACTCACCACCTATCAGTAGGAAACAAGTGATTAGTCCACACATTTACAAAAGGTTTCAGAAAATGAAATAAGGTGACTCAACACAGCAGTCCTAAACAGATTTCTTATGCAAAGATTTCAAGTCTGTTGGCTACTAACTAAAGGAATAGGTGGGTTAGCTCTGCAGAAAGATGCCCAGAGGTGATAACTATAAGACTATATAGGTAATCGGCAGTCCTGTGAGATGTCTATGAATTTTAAAATAATATTACCCTGCAATTTTAAAATGAGGTGTTATAATGGAAGTTTCTTATTATTGACTCTTACTTTTCATTCCTGCATGCCTTGAGTAGAATTGAGGCTGCAAAAGTAAACCATTTCTGTTCTGTGACACTGGCTTCAGGCTTCCAATGGAGAAATTCTTTTTCACACTCCAAATTCCTTCCACAGCCACTGTTAATAATTTGTGAAAATAATACCATTATAACTGATTACTTCAATTTGTTCTAGATTTAATGTAACTTTTGAAAGACAGTCTCTTTGGTCTAGACAGTAATTAGAAGTAGTTAAGCAGAACACTATAATCTTCCTCCATAGTTAATGAAAAGAGATTGACATCTTCAGAGAGCAATTCAGATTGCTAAAGGTATATGATGCTCCCTGCTGTCTGTAGAACAGCTTAGGACTACTAGGCTCCTAACTGAAGCAGGACGCAGCTGCTCTATAATGTGTAAGAAACAGCAGTAATGCCATCGATGCATCCAGCATGATTTATTGGTCATACTGTAATACCAAATGCTCTCATAAAAAGATAGCAGAACAACACCCACCCCCCAAAAAAAAAAAAAAAAAAAAACAAACAAAAAACCAAAACAAAACCAACACCACCAAAACAAAACAAAAAAGCTAATTTATTTTGTGGAAAGGTTACAATTTACTAACCATCTAATTTATGTAAAACAATAAACTTACTAATAATCTAAACTGTGTAAATCAGTAACCACCCAACCTGACAATTGTTGTTTATCAGAGCCCAGGCCACTTAGGGAGCATCTCTAATTCTCCAAATGTATACAGATGAAAAAGAAACTAGGTACTTGCTGAATATCTGTACACCAGCATCTGTTTGACCTTATTATACATGGCATTGCTATGCTATACATATAACATTATGCTACACATACCATTTATATACTGAGCTTGTTATACACCCATATTATACATTCCTGCAATGAGTATTTTTGTGGTGTTTCTGTATTATCTTTAGTACTTTAAGCCTTTGTAACATATATTTCATTGGGGGACTCCCCAGAAATCATGAGAACATATATGGTAGCATCCATTTATACGATCAGACTGAAATATTCCAGACAATTTTGATCCATTGGCAGATGGATGCAGTGAAATATAGTTGTGTTCAGCTCTTAGTAACATCAGACACATAAGCAGACTGAGCAGACCAATGTTAACATCTGCAACTCAGCTACTTGTCCAGAACCCCTTTACAGTCAATGGGAAAAGAACAGGCACTTTCAGAGCATGACGCATGCAATGGTAGGTATCTAGGACAAGTCAGAAGAACTGCTTTTTCAAAGTGCCTTTTTCTCTCCATTTACTATAAACAGAGCCTACACAAGTCATTCATTTGCAGCTGTGTGCTGTAATTGCCTAAGGAGCCTAATCACAGTAATGGAGTTGCAGGTTCAAATGGTCTTTACATCTGACAGGATACTGATTACATCACCTAACTTATGTACATTTTTGTCTGTGAATCCAACTGCTTTAAATTCATTTTGAGTGAGTTTAGACTTGGGTCTCAATCCTACATAAGAGAAACCAGACTTTTTTCAAAATTTTCCAAATTTGGAAACAAAGGCAAAAATGCCCTTATTACATTTGTGGAGGATGTAATAGGAGATATAGTGATGGGCTTATTCCAACAAAATGCAGCTTTAATATAACCAAGGAATAGCTTTACTCTACAGAAGAGAATGTGGGGCTACAGAATGAGAACTGTGTATTGTGGAGCAAAAGCATCATGGATTTAGGAGTAACAGTCGACAAACAGTTCAAGGTCCTAGTGCTAATGTTAGCTCTAAAATAAGTAGATGATTCTCTCTCTCTACAGGCTACTCGTGATACAAATACTGAAATACCATTATCAGATTTGGTATTCACATTTTAAAAGAAGAGGCAAAACAACTGGTGAGAGTACTTAAAGAGCCAAAACCAAGTATGTGTATATACCTTCTCCGGAAGAAAATCCTGGATACTAAAAAAGGCACTATTACATATCCAAGAAAAGCAAGGAGCTGAATCATGCAAATCCAAATTATTAATCAGGATTTTTTTTTTTTTTTTTAAATACACCAACCACTAGAACAAACTAGTGAGGGAAGCTGTGGAATAACCAGCTTTACTCAGTGGACTCTACAGAGAGGTACCTAATAAAATACAATGGCTTGGCTGATAAAGGCAGTAAGACTTTGCAGTCAACCAGATAAGATGACCTATCCTTAAACATTACAAACTTCTGAAAATTAATTTTCTACAATTAGATTAATAGATCTTATGGCTGCAGGAGACCACCAGCATCATGTAAGTTTTGTCTTATGTGGGTCACATGACATCAGGCTTATTCCTGCACCAAGACTAGCAAATAGCTTGGACCAGGGCTAACCGTTTAAGTGCAAAGTATTTTAAGTGTGTATTAAAAATGGTAAATCTGAGTGATCTTTGTTAAATTGTTCCAGTATTAATGATAGAATCATTAAGGTTGGAAAAGACCTCTAAGATCATCGAGTCCAACCATCAACCCAACACCACCATGCCCACTAAACCATGTCCCTAAGCACCACATCTACACGTCTTTTAAATACTTTCAGGGATGGCGACTCAACCACTTCCCTGGGCAGCCTGGTCCAATGTTTAACCACTCTTTCAGTAAAGAAATTTTTATTAAGTTCTCTTTTTGTTAAAAAATGCTTATTTCTACTCTGATCTTACCTCATTTTCACCTCCAGTTCTCAGAACTTTTAATAGTTTAGCTAGACCGAACACCTTGTTCCTTCTTAGACTTCAGTTTCCTCGTTTGCCTGCTGTAATCAAGTCTCTCCATACCTTTAAACTGCCTAAACAGACTGATTTTCTAATTGCTTTCACTGTTTTCCTGTTCTTTATTTATCAATCTTACCTCAATCCTTTTTTTTCAACACCAGCTTCGGTTTTGAATAGCAGAAGGGGACAAAGTATTCTAATAACTACAGCACTTCTTTCAAAGAAAAAGGTAACAAAACCTCCCTACTGCTTGGCATTTGTTTCTGTTTTATTAAACTGATAGATCATATGGAATTATTCATGTTCTCTATGGTCCTGTAATTTCAGACTATAAAAAAAAAAAAAAGAAATAAAGACTATATGTAATTCTTCTGTTTCTAAATGTTCCCCAAGCTATTACATAAATGTTCTGGGCTGGTCTTTTAAACTAGTAATTTTGCCACAGTTCCTCAAAACTATTTTTCATTTGCCCTGACAAACACTTGCCATTTGCTGATAAAGAGGATTACCTGCAGCTGGATGTTTAACATGGCATGCTTCTTTCCGGTAATAAAGACTATATGTAATTCTTCTGTTTCTAAATGTTCCCCAAGCTATTACATAAATGTTCTGGGCTGGTCTTTTAAACTAGTAATTTTGCCACAGTTCCTCAAAACTATTTTTCATTTGCCCTGACAAACACTTGCCATTTGCTGATAAAGAGGATTACCTGCAGCTGGATGTTTAACATGGCATGCTTCTTTCCGAAAATAAAGCTCCTCTTCAAGTATTTCTTTAACTCTCCTAGATGGCTCAACATATACAAATTTCTTCCCTGTGAGTAAAACATATTACAAAAAAACCCAGTTATTTTAAATCCCCTGAATGCTAACGTGCTTTGCCGAACATAACGTCATTTTATGCTGCTCTAATTCTGTCTTTCATACACTTTAAGACAAATCATTTACAAATATAGTGTTCAGCCAGGCCCTGCTCCCCAACATCAAGCGATTCCTCACGACAGGACCGTGGTGGGTAAATCTGAAAGGGGAGTGCTGGTGGGCTGCAGCGCGGTGAGGGGGCTCTCCCATGGAGGAGCTAAGGCCACCCCAGGGCACTCGAGGAGACGCGGCCACTATCTCTCCCCACGGCGAACAACCCAAGGCAGGGCCGCGTATGGAGGAGGTCTCCAAGGATACGTCCTCGCTGAAAGAGATGTCCAAGGAGCTGATGAGCGATTAGGGCACTTCATGGCGGCAGGGGAGTCCCTGCCTGACAGGGCAGTACCCACACCCCTCCCGTAGTGGGGTGCACGGTGCCGCGGGACCGCCAAGCAAGGTGGACGCGAGGGATCAGTGGGGAGCTGCGGGGGGAAAGGCTCGGCTTCCCCGAGGGGACACCCCGGCGGAGGTGGCAGGGGAGCGGGAAGGGGAACGGAGGCCTCAACGGGCGGGGGGCGGTGAGGCGGGCGCC